ATTAAGAATCACTGATCTCATGACTCTGAAACTTCTAAACCTAGACCTAGAGAAAGAGGCAACTGACAGGACAGCCAGACATTTAAAGACAGAAGTTCCCTCCCTTTCTCATCTTTGGGCACAGCATTTCACAGTATACAGCTAACAGAAGCTCACATTCACTAACACCTATGGGAGTGGGGGGACTGTCCTGAGGGTCCCAAGTGAACAAACTCTGCTTCCACCAACCCTCCAAAGTAGGTACCACCATTATTCCCATTTCACAGATAAGAACACTGAGGCCCAGAGAGGGTGAGTGACTTGCCCAAGATCACACAGCTGAGAAAATTCCAACCCAGGTCCTACGAAACCTGCACCCTTAACCACTATGCTACACTGCCCTGTACACTGTGAAGTACATTTGCATTCTATTAACCGCTCAGCATTCTGGGGGACGGGGGGTGGGGTACAAGGCAAGGACTGTGGTCCCGGCTTTACAAGGGAGGGACCCATAGCTCAAAGAGGTAAGCTTACCTCTGACTTGCCTGAAGACATACAGCTTAGAAGGGCCTAGTTGGGTCTCCCGGTTCCATATGTCCATGTCCCACTACCTCCTCCTCCCCTTGCTGTCCCCAGCCATTGACCCCTTGGCAATCCCAGTCTCTCCTTTTCCCCCTCCAGACCTGCCAGCCAAGTCTGGCTCCCCAAACCCTAAGGGAGAGGTCCCAGGTGGCCGCCCTAAGACCTGGACCCTCCAGCCTCCCAGGGCGCCCCCAGGAGTCCCTGCAGGGCCCCCGTGCGGTGCGGGATGCCTGCGCTGGGCACTGCAGGGGCCTCTGGCATCAGGGACGCTGGCAAGAGCAGATTTATGAGCAGGGCTATTTTATACTTTGCAGCTGCTGCCATAAACCCTGGACTGGCCCGAGAGGGGGAGCAGCTGTGGGGAAAGCTCCTGGGCCCTGGAGCCAGGGCCAGATCCTTCCTGCTATTTCTGAGCAGCCGGAGGGGCCCTGAAGTGAAAACCTCCGGGAAAAAGGGCAAACCCCCGCCCCACTCCAGGCAGGCCGGGTCCCTCCCCCACACCAGACGGAAGAGCCGGGGGAAGAGCCGGGATGAAGCAGCCCAGAGCTGGGCACAGCGCCAGGCTGCCCACCAGACAGCCCGATTCTCACCAGCTCTGGACCCATCCCAGCTCCTGTCTGGTCCTCAGACACCCTCTTAAATATCGAGGGGCTGGGCTCGATTAGGGGTTCTGACCTGTAGAGGTTCCCTGAGGTCACTTAGCTCAAACATTCCCACTATTTAAGGTTCTCTGTTCCAACTACTGGCTGTGTGACTTTGGACAAGTTACTTCACCTCTCTGGTTCTCTGTTTTTCTCACCCAGAAAATGGGAAGAAATAATGACTGTCTCATTAACAAGGGTGTGAGGAAGAAGTAACATAACATCAGTAGCTCGCAGCAGGTTTATTTGCAATAGCCCCAAACTGGAAACAGCCCAAGTGGCCATCAGCAGGTGAACCGATAAACAAATTGTAATATAGCCATACAAGGGAACACTACCCAGCAATGACAAACGGTGAAATACTGATACAAACAACACAAATCTCGAAATATGAATGCCAAGTGAAAGAAGCCAGACCTAAAGAATACACATTGTACAGTACCATTTATGTAAAATTCCAGAAAATAAAAACGAATCCCAGTGACAGAAAGCAGATTACCAGTTGCCTGGGGGCGGGCGGGGGGGTGGAGAGGAGCAGCAGTAAGGAGGCTTCGCCAGGGGCACCGAGAACCTTCATAGCGATGGCTTTGTGGGTGTACACGTATGTCAACCATCACGTTGCACACTCAAATGTGCGCATCGAGCGTGCGTCCATCACCCCTCAGCAAACCTACAGGCCGTAATGCCCCAGACATGCGCAATGGCCCGTTTGCAAATGGCAGCTCTCGCGGTATGAATCACGTGGCTGCACCTAAACGATTCCTTGTTGGAATTCATCTTCTCCGCTGGAATACAGCCTCAGCTCAGTTTTGCTAACTGTGTTCCCGGTCCCTGGCACTTAGTAGGTGCTCATTAAATAGTTGTGGCTGGAAAACGAAGAGTCTATGGCCCTGCTACTTGCTCCCAGGCCACTTTCGAATTCAGCGGGTAAACTAACCCCAAGCAGGGTAGACTCAGGATTCCGAGTCCCGATGAATGAGAAACAGACAAGCCAGTCCCACAGCACGGGGCAGTCACTGTCTGCACCCCAGGGGGGCGGGGTGGGGTCAAAACAAGGTATCGGGACCCGTGATGAAATGCGGTGGACATTTGTCCCCCACCCCACTACCAAGAGAGGGGTTGGGGCCACACACAAGGCCGTGGTGAGAGTGTGGGGAGGATTACTCGTGGTTGCGGACCGGCTGGCGCCTGTACCTGCGCATGCGCACGGAGCACCTGCTGTGCATCAGATGCTGTGCCGAGTGGTGGGGAGACGTTGGAGCGCGGTGCCCCAGGCCCCTTTCCTTGTGGGCTTTGCATCCTGGTGGTGACAGTTGTCCGGTGGTAACAGGGTGACAGTTGCCCTGCTCAAGTTTCAGAAACTCTGATTTAATTGGTCTGGGTGGCGTCTGGGAGTCAGGGTTTTTCTTTTAGAGAGAGAGGGGGAAACAAAGGGCAAGAAACAGTGATGTATGTGCAAAAGACGCATGACTGCCTTCTGGACCTGTAACCCAAGCATGTGCCCTGACTGGGAATTGAACCAGCAACCTTTCAGTGTGTGGAACGATGCCCAACCAACCGAGACACACCGGCCTGGCTGGGAGCCAGGACTTTTTTAAAGCTCCCAGGTCATCCCATTGTGCAAGTGGAGACCCCTCCTGGTGGAGGGGTCCAGACTTAGGACCATCTCCATGTACACATGGCAACGGTGGCCCAGGGAGGTGAGGTGAACTGGCCAAGGCCACACAGCCAGGAAAAGGTGGAGTCATCATTGACCCCCACGTCTCGCTGCGGGGGCCCATCCACCTTAACCACCCCAGAGGGCGGAAGGTGAGGTGCCCAGGGCAGAGCTGCTGGCCAGGGACTCGTGAGCTCCATCCCTCATGCTCTGGCCCTGGACAGAATGCCCAGCCAGCAAACGCCCAGCCACTAAGGCTGACCAGAGCTGGGTACAGGGAAGGGGGCTCTTCTGCACCCCACCCCCGCCACACACCCCCAGAAGCCCCCATGCCCACACTGAGCTGGGGCCCCTGTCTGGGGGCAGTGTTACTCTCTCTCTCCCCCTTCATGGCAACAGCCGACCCCCCCCCCCCCCCCCGACAGGCTTCCAGGCCGGGGGGCAGCTGTGCGGTTTTACAAGCCCTGGGACAGTGGGGAGCTGTTCAGGCCCTGGAAGGTCTCTGGACCCCTGGGAACAGGGAACCCCTCGCCCCTCCCCACCCTCAAACCCCACTGTCCCCGCTGGCCCAGCCACAGCCACAGCTAAACACGCCCCCCAACCGCTGTCCCCCTCCGTGGCTCACTCCCCTCTGGTGCCCAGACCAGTGAGTGCCCGTAAAAGGCTCTTCCTGGGTAATTCTACCGCAGATTGAAGGAGCCCTACGCAGAAGTGGGGCCCTGCTGTTTCCTCCCCCGAAGGCTTCATTCCTTCATCCACTCATTCATTTGGAAAAAAGCAGTAGAGCCCCGTGCGGGACTCAGACTAGGGAGTCAGACACAGGGCTGGAATCCTGGCTGTGTGACCGGGGCAACTGACTTCACCTCTCTGGGCCTCAGTTTTTCCATCAGTGATACTGGGAATAATAATAGTTCCCGTCTCATGGGGGCACAAGTCTCAAATAGTTCATGATGTCCAACCAGAGCTTAGAGCAGTGCCTGGCACATGGCAGGTGCTCATCGACTGTGGACAGTCATTATTACCCCTAGGGAAGGGGCTATCAGGGAGGACTCCCCGGAGGAGGGACATCTAGGTTATAAGCTGAAGAGTGAGGAGTTAGCAAGGAAGGGGTGGAACGGTGTTATAGGCAGAAGGAATAGTAGCTATAAAAGCTCAGAGGTGAGGGAGAGGTGGACTCCTGCACTGGGGCTCAGACCACAGTTCCAAGGGACACCAGCTATGACGAGGGCCCAGGGGAGCCACTGACCAGGGAGCAGCTGCTGGGGAAATGCACCCCTGCCTGCCCCAGAATCTCCGATGCCTGCTCCTGTCTTCCTTGGGTTTCCCGGTCCCGGGGCAGCGTAATGCCCTTCCCAGCCACAGCCGCCCAGGAGCCTGGGAGCCAGCGGAGAGCTTGTCACACCCAGAGAGGTTGAGTGGTGCGTTCAGAGCCACACAGTATCTGGGTGTCCAGTGAGGGTATTGGATGCTCCCTGTGTTCTTGGGCGGAGCCGGTCTGGGCTTGGAGGGGGCGGGCCCTTCCCCACTGAGCGAGACAGAGGCGGTTGTGTGCTGTGAAACCCAAACAAACCCCAGCCCCCTCCGGACGGACGTGGGGTCGAAGGAGGAGAGGGGAGGCAGGGGGTTAGCCTCCCTGCCCCCATCGCCTCGGGGATCTGGCATGTGCCGGGCCCAGCCACATCTGGATTCCAGCTGGCAGCTCGGGGCAGTGGCCACAGAAACTTGCCATCAAAGGCGAGGAGGAGCCTGCTGGTGAGCAGACAAAGGCCAGGGCTGCCTCCAGCCCCGGCCCCCGAGAGGGAGTGGTGCCGAGACCCACCCCATCCTCAGCCACCCTGCGGGGGCACCAGACAGAAGCCTCAGCTGGGGGCCCCTCCACCGCCATACCTCCTCGGGGACACAGGGAGTGGGTGGTTCCCCTGTGGCCACAGTGAGTGGCAGAGCTGCCACAAGTCAGGGCTAGAGCTCAGTCTTGGGGACATGAGTTACCACCCCCGCTCCCCTGAGACATCCCATCCGGATTTCAGCCCCTAAGGCCTGGATGAGGTGTCTCCCCCAGAAAGTCGCCCCACCCCCATGGAACAGCCCAGGGGAAATGCCCCCATCTCTCAGAAAACCAGTGAGACTCGGGACAGGATAAAGGTTTATTGTGCTGGTTCCTTATAGCTCAGCACCGGGGGGAGCTGCACAGAGGTGGAGTGGCCCCCCATGGAGGGATGGGGAAGAGGACCCCCCAAGAGCCTCCCCAAGTCAGGACGGAGCTCAGGCTCCCTGGTCAAGGACTAAAGAATCGGGTGGACACAGGCTGCCGGACACCAGTGTGCAAGCAGGGGGCAGGGACCAGCACCCGCTGCTCCAGGCCGGGCGTCAAAAACCCTGCGCCCTCCCTCGGGTTCCCTGAGAGCACGCTGTCCCCATGCTCACCCCAGGGCTCCAGGCTGCTAGGGGATTCCGACCAAAAGGTATAATTCATTTGCCCCGTCTCCACGGCCACGGCAGGATGAGAGGCAGTCCTTGGGGGGCCCAGGCCCTCACAGCCCGCACCCAGGACCAGCAGACACTGGGGGCACCTTCAGGAGAGCAATAATTTCCAAAGTGTGCTCTGCAGCGTTTTTACACTAGCTGCTAAACAACAAAAAATACTGTACGGTCAAAAGCAGTTTGGGAAAGGCTAAGTGAAACCAGACTCCACGGCCCTTTGCTGCAGGACTTGCGAGAGCCCCTGGCGCTCCGGGGGTGGGGGGCGGGGCGTCCAGACACAGTGCTTCTGCACCTCCCGCTGGACTCCAAAATCTTTTTATCCACAGGGGACCCCAGGGGACCCGGTTTGGGAAATGCTCGTGGAAGGCCCTGTCGTGAGCGGTGCAGGGGCCCCTCGAAGAAGCCACTTGTTGCATCAGGCCCATTTCTGCGTCCCCACCGAGGGCACCAGCCCCGGACATGTCTGTGTCTCCCATATAAAGTCTTCCAACGCTGCTGGTTCATCTGCTTTCCTTCGCTACCTCAGTGAAAAGCGCTGGTGTTGGCCCTGCCACGAGGGACCCTCGAAGCTTGTTTGCTAATGGACGGGATGTAACGGGGATACCCGCCCCAGGCCCTGCCTCCCCAGAGGAGCTGTGCTTGGGGATGGAGCCCTTTGGGGCTGCAGGGACAAACGTTCTGGAACATGGCGGGACTCCGGGGGTGGACCGGAGACCATGCCCACTGTAGGCTCGGGACATGCTGGGATTTGCAGCTGGGGGTGGGCAAGGAGGGGGCTTCAGGGAGCGTTAAGGGCCTTTCTATGCCCAAGGAGGGGACCCCTAGGGATCCGATAGTCAGGGCCACAGCTCTGGGGGCCCATTAGACGCTAGGGGTGGCACTGCCACAAGCACAGGGGCTTTCTGGGGGGCCAGCTGGGTCCCCAGCTTCCTGGGCCGCTGAGGAAGCTGCTTCTGGCTCCCCAGGGCCCTCGCTGGCCCCAGCAGCCCCCTCTACCGGCACTGATGAGCACAGTGCTTCCTCCGGTGCTTGTGGGGTCTCTGCTGGGGCCCCAGGGCCCTGGGCCTCCGGGTGCCCCTCCTGGCCGCCTGCCTCCTCTTCCTCTGACTTGCCCTCTGTCATCCTGGCTCCGTCTCCACTGCCTGGGGCCGCCCTGGTGGGAGACTTGAGGTTCTGGGTGGCGGCAAGGATGTCCGCCTGGAGCTGCTGGGAAGAATCCAGGGCCTCCTCGGGCCGGCCGTCGGGAGCCCTGTCGGGGACCTCGCTGAAGGCCTGGGGGCCTCCGGCCCGGTCCCTCTGGTCCACATACTTCTTTTTGGGGAAGGATGAGGGGTAGTAGGCGGAGGCCTTGTGCTTCTGGCGGGTGATGAGGGCGGCACAGACGATGAACATGACCAAGAACACCAGGGAGCCCACCACGGCGATGAGCATCACGTACTGGCGGAAGAAGTCCACGATGCCGTCCAGGAAGTTGGTGGGCGGCTTGGGGCCCGCCAGGGGCGTGGGCTGGGGCCCCACCGACGTGGGGCTGAGGTCTGGGGTCTGGGGTGGCGGGAGGCTCGGCGAGGAGGCCGAAGAGCCGTCAGCCTCCCCGCTACCCCCCAGGTCCTCCGGGAAGGTGTCCTGCAGGGACACAGAGTGGACCACCGAGGGCAGGACCCTGGGGAGCAGCAGCAGAGACAGGAAGAGGCTGGAGGCCGTGGCAGAAAGCATGTTGCCCGGGACCTACGGGGAAGCAAGGCCGGAGAGAGGTCAGGGAGGGACTCCAGGGTCTCGGGGGACCCCGAGGAGGTGCAGGAAACACACAATGTATTCTAGCAAGTCGCCCCCCTTTCCCAGGCCTGAGACTCCCCACCATACAATGGACCCCGTGCCTTCATGGGTGGGGTTCACGCCTCCCCCCTCCGCTCCACTCTGAGACCCTGGAGAACAGGGGCTGAATCTCATTTATCTTGGCATCCTCAGGTATACAGTAAGTGCATGTATCTTGACTCAGTTCACTGAATTAATAATAATCATTTACCCTTTTCCTGCTTGTGCTTTGCCAGGTACTATTTTAAGTTTTTTACATGGAATTTCTCATTGAATCTGGAGAGCCACCCGATGGGGGAGGCCCTATTATTGTCCCCATTTTCCAGGTATGGAAACTGAGGTTCAGAGGGGTTCAGCGACTTGCAGAGAAAGAGCAGGCTTTGGAGATGGTGGGGCTGAGTAAGTGAGAAACCAAGTCAGTGTCGGCTGAACGCTCTCCTCTGGGGAGCTTCCCCAGCAGCCCCCAGCCTCTCTGTGGCCCCCTTCCCTTCTCCGGAAGATTCCGGGGCCTCGACGCCTGCCCACTTTCTGAGCCCCACAGAGGCCCGCCTGCAAGGAGTATGCTGGGGGCATCAGCCCCATGGATGGGGCCGACCTCGCCTCAAGGCCCGAAGCAAGACCTGGAGGCCGCAGGGGGACCCGCCCCCAGGCCGGAGACAAAGCTGGAGCCCGAGTACCACCACCACATGCGAACCAGTGCACCCTGCCCCCCTCTGTTGGAAAGCTGCTTGCAGCGTGAACCCCCAGACCCGAACTGGCCCAGAGAGCCGTCTGACTGATAAATTCCTCACGGCCCAGGTTTACGGAGGAGCCTGGCTTCTAACACAGAAACCCTCCTGGCCAGTCTGAGTGGGCCTAGCGCTCTGATGAACCCAGGACCACTTCCTGTGCCCCCCAGGTCACCCACAGATAACCCCATCCTGACCCAGGGGAGGGCCCAGGACCCTGATAACTGGGTGAGGCTAGAATCTCCAAGACAGAAAGGCCTTAGGGTCCTCAGGGGACTGAGATAGGGAGACCGGGGCCCAGAGAAGGCAAGGAGCGGGCCCCAAGCCACACAGCAGGCTCCGGGCCGGAGAAGGAGGCCAGGTGTCCAGCTCCTCAACTGCAGCTGCCCCCGAGTGCCTCGGCCTGGAGCCCTACTGTGTGCAACGGGCAACTCTGGGACTCTGGGGCTGAGGCAGGAGTAGCACTAGGTCATTGAGTGACTTGTTCCAAGTGCCCCGGGGCCTCCCAACCAAAGTGCCATGGATTGAAATGAACTGTACCGACATGAATTCGGACAAACGGGCTCAGATGGCAAGAACAAAAGATAATTCAGGACATAAAAAGAGGCAACACTACTCAGGGGTTCTTTTTTTTTTAATCTTCACCTAAGGATATATTTTATTGATTTTACAGAGAGAGAGAGAGACAGAGAGGCAGAGAGAGGGGGAGACAGGGAGAGAGAGCAAGAGAACTACCGATCAGTTGCCCCTGCACACACCCTGACTGGGAATCGAACCTGCAGCCTTCTGGAGCACGGGATGGCATCCCAACCAACCGAGCCACCTGGCCAGGCCTCGGGGGCTCATTTTTAGTGAGCTGGCCGCTGTCCCTTCATCTCAGGCCACTCATCTGAGCCCCCCTGAGGGTGCCGCTCTGCAGAAGCCCTGGCATCGTCTCCAATTTTCAGACCAGAAACCGAGTTCAGAGACGAACAGTGATTTGCCCAAGGACACACAGATGGTGAGTGTCAGAGCTGGGATTCGAACCTTCTGTGTGACACCAAGTGTCTGTCTCTCTCTCTCTCCCCCGCCCCTTCCCTCCCTCCTGCCCTTCCTCTCCCTCTTGCCCAGGGCTGGCCTCACACCCCCTGGTCGATGTCACTTGTCAGCTGGAAAAAAGGTTTGAGATGCCACATGATCTGCAGGAGCCGTCCCGGCCCTCCCCTCCCTGGCACTTGTTGGCAAAGTTTCCACAGACAGCTTGGACCTGGGGGTCTTTGTCTCACGGGTCCCCACCCTGCCTTCTGCCTCCAGTCCAGCCTCAGGAGAGACCTTTCCCGGTGGCCGTGGAAGCTTCTCACGGCAGACTGTGACCAGTGGTGGCTGAAGATCAGGGGGCTTTCCCAAGGGGTCAACTGGGAAGTTCCCTGCCGCGGCAGGGTCGGGGGGCCAGGGAGGCCGGGATTCCAGTCCTGGCTCCATCTCGGCCCAACTCTTTTGTCTGGCCCTTCTGGGCCTCAGTCTCCCCGTCTGTAAATTGGGGACATGCTGGGGAGGGGACCCCGGTCCTGCTTGGTATAGAGTAGCTGCTCACAGAGGAAGCATCTTCCCACCAAAGCCAACAGGTGAGCCCCCCACCAGAGGTGTACATTTGGTCAGCATCGCCGCCCCCCCCCGCCTCCAGCTTTCTCACCTCATTGGGTGGAATCTCTTCAACTCTGATCACACATACGTGCTTGCACACACACATGAACACACACATGCACACACTCATGTGTGTAGGCGCAGCAGACAGCTGGACGGAGAAAAGGGCCCCCTGCCCCTGAAGCTTCGGGGCGAGGGGACAGCGGATCAAGATGCCACACGAAAAATCTCTTGCTCCTAAAGACCAAGACCCCAACTCTCAGAGTCCCCCATACCCCACACCCCATCCTGGCTCCCCAGAAAATGTTCGGGCAAACTGAGGAGCTGGCCGGGCCCCGTGGGAGGTGGCTGTGTGACCCTGCATGGCCAGCCCCTTGCCTTCCCTGGGCCTCAGTTTCCCCAGCTGCAGGATGGGCACACTAGCCCTGCCCTACCTCCTTTCCGGGACTAGCTCTTCCAGGACTCGGGAACTCACAGACCACTGAGAGCTGGCATCAGGCCACCGCTCTCGTTTCTCCCAGAGGCAGCTGGGCTGAGTTGGGGTCGGCCTGCCCAGGGCCGCACAGCCTGTCAGCGTGGGGTCCGGAACGGGGCCCTGGACAGAGAGGCCACTCAGAACGCCCTGCACAGGAAGTCCTGTGTGTCTCCTCCGGGCCTCGGTTTCCACGTCTACACAGTGGGGATGGGGGCCGCCCCCTGGGCTGGTGTCAGGACGAGAAACAGCAGGGCCTGGAGCACGGCGGGTGTCGACTGGTGGGCACCGGGTGACGGTCCAGGACCCCCAGCCTGGGGCAGGGCCTCTCTTTAGGGCCCATCTCACTCGGGGAGCGCGTTGTTGTAAAACGTAGGGGCCCCAGATGAGGTCAGGAATATGCATATGATGCAAAATCCACCCCTAAAACCTTGGTACCCCAAGTCCCGAGGCTGAGGGGCCGTGGCAACAGCTCCACCCCCACCCAGAGACTGGCAGCCGAGGGGGAAGGGCAGCCGCAAAAACCTGGCTTCAATTAGCGGCCTTGGGGGGAGGGGGCCCGGCTGAAGCCCTGCACCCCCTGCTCGGGGCAGCCGAGGACAGGGCCCTGGGTCCCTTGGAGGGCAGGCCTGGGGAGGGATGGGGGTCCCGAGGGCTCAAAACACACACACACACACACAAAGAACAGCAGCTGTGTAGACACACAACATACATTTGCACACACACACAACATCCAGACACAACATCCAGACACCCCAGAGGGTGCACACTGCACTGACACTCAGGCCACGGACACGAACACACAGCGGCCACTTCCCCGACCACACGTGCACACATGCAACCCCAGGCACACCGCGGACCCCCCCCCCCACAGGACAGGACAGTCCGGGTCACGCCACCCTCCCACTTGCTGGAAGTGACCACCCCGGCGTCCACTTTCAAGAATGACATGTCCCCTTAGAGGGAGGCCACCGTGGCACCCAGACAACGCTCAGGCACGCAGGGCCATTGACGGCGCCCGCACCGTTTGCCCCTCACCCTCGGCACACATCACACATACACAGCACCCAGCACACCGTCGAAACTCGCACACACTTAGAGACGCTCCCACAGAGCTCTCCCACCAGCCCGGTGCCTAAACTGCAAGGCACCCTCAGGCTCCCAGGACAGAAGAGGGGACCCCAGGACTCACCAGTCCCTCCGCACTCAGGCCTGGTGCTCCCGCCAGGTGGAGCGAGAGAGAGACGGTGCCGTGCCCTGCGCTGCTCTGGGCTGGCCGCCCCGCCCTCCTCCCGCCCCCTCCCTCCCTCCCTCCCTCCCTGCCCGGCTGCGGGGGCCAGCTTGATCTCATTAAGGGGTTTGGGGTGGGGACAGGGGAGGGGTGGGGCCGCGCTTGGCCACACACATCCCGCCTCTGCTCCCACCCTGGCAGGCGCCCCCTCGAAGCTCGGGGAAGCCCAGATGGGGCACTTCCTCCCTGACCGCAGGTCCCCAGGGTAGGTCGCAGCATACAGACAGACAGACAAGGTTGTCCCACAGTGCCCCCCAAAACAGCAAGGTGGGGTCCTACCCTTTTTCCAAAGAAGAGCAGGTCAGGAAAGCTCGGAATACCCCAGAAGTGAGGAGGAAAGTGCCCGGTCCTTGGTCTGCACTGTGACCCAGGTTTTTCGGGGCTCAGGGTGCGGAGTGGAAGCTGGGGTGCCTGTGAGGCCCAGCATCAGTGGTGGCCTGACGGAGGGTCCAGGGCTGAGGCAGAGAGCACGTCTGGCACCCACTGAGCAGCCCTAGTTGGGCCCTTGCCTCCTCAAAGCCTCAGCTTCCCCACCGGCAGGGGCGGGCAGGAAGCTTTCTGGGCTCTCTCTGGTTCTGATGGGGCATTCTAGATCAGTGGCCTCACTCTACCCCAGGGGGTGTGGCCAGCGTAGGTGTCAGGGAGCAGCCCGCTCAGGGGCTGTGGCCCTAGGGCACAGATGGGAACACTGATGAGTCCCAGGGGCTCAACCAGGGGACTGAGGCAGGTCGGTAGCGGCCCTGGAACTGGGCCCTCTGGCTGGCCCGAGGAATCCAGGGGGTCAGTGGCCCCTGCATCCGTTCTTTCACACACTCATTCATTTGTTCGTTGAAGGAATGTCCTAGGTGTCCTCCATGAATTCCTACAGCGCACCGGGCGCCCTGCCAAGCAGGCCTCAGAGGCGAATCAGACTCAGCCCAGTGCCTGGGGGGCTCAAAGACTTCCAGGGAGAAGGACACACACAAAAATTACGCTTTCGCAAAACAAAAATGGGCTCGTGGCAGGAGAGCGGCCAGGCCAAGGGCTCAGGGGCCCCGGAGCAAAGAGAGGCCCACAGAGAGAGAGGCAGGGACGTGGTCCCACAGGACTGGGCTGTGAACGAGCACAGCGTGATGGAGAGGAGGCCCGAGAGGCGCTGCAGGGGAAAGTCCCCGTGTGCGTGGAAGACCCCGTGTGCGCAGGGGCAGAGCAGCTGCAGCGGTAACGAGGGCTGGGCAAGTCTGCAGGAGCTCGGCTGAGGTCTCAGGATGCCGTTCATCCAGCCTAAGACAGGGCCCATTCTGTGCTCCCGCTTTGGGGGCACGGCAGCTCCCACAAGGACTATGGGACCCAGAGGCAGATAGACCCACGTTCAAATCCTGCCCCACGGGATTTGGAGGCCTCGGGGCCTCTGAGGAGAGGGATGGAGGGCGTGAGCATGCTGGGCGGCAGCGGCCAGAGGTGGGGTGCCTGGGTTTATCCCTGCTACCGCTACCAATCCATCACCACGCACCTGTCGGCTTCAAACAACACACATTTATTCTCCCACAGTTCTTTTTCTGAAATATAGTTTATTGTTATTCTATTACAGTTGTCCCAGTTTCTGCCCCTTTGCTCTCCCCCACCCAATCCACCCCCTGCTCCCGCAGTCAGTCCCCACCCTGTTGCCCATGTCCGTGGGTCATTCGTGCATGTTCTTTAATCAGTCCCCTCCCCTTCTTTCTGCCCTTACCCCTCAGTCTGTCCCATGGCCCCATGCTTGTAGTTCTGCTTTCCTCATTAGTTTATTTTTGTTCATTAAGTTCCTCTTTATAGAGGAGAGCATAGGGCATTTGTCTTTGACTGGCTTATTTCATTTAGCACAATATTCTCCAGGTTCCCCCGTGCTGTCACGAAGGGCAGGGCTCCTTTCTCTCTGCTGCGTGGTATTCCACTGTGTGAATGTGCCACAGTTCTTCGATCCACTCATTTACTGATGGGCACTTGGGCTGTTTCCAGCACTTGGCTGTTGGAAATAGTGCTGTTCTGAACATAGGGGTGCATGGGTTCTTTTGAATTGGGGTTTTGTGATTCTTCCAGGATAATCCCAGCAGTGGGCTCGCTGGGTCGTAGGGCAGATCCATTTTAAGTTTTTTGAGGACACGCCACACCGCTTTCCACAGTGGCTGCACCAGTCTGCATTCCCACCGGCAGAGCACCAAGGTCCCCGTTCCTCCACGGCCTCTCCAGCACTTGCTGTTTGTTGATTGACTGACTGACTGACTGATTGATTGATTTTCATGGTCGTTCAGTTACGGTTGTCCCGTTTCCCTCCCCCATTGCTCTCTCTCCTACAGTCCGGCAGCCAGAAGTCGACGATGGCCAACAGCAAGGTGTCGGCATCACTGTGTCCGCCCAGCATCCTCGGGGGCAGAGTCTGCCTCCTTGCCTATTTTCTTTTAAATCCCCACCTGAGGACATCGTTTTCATTGTTGTTATGTTTAGTTTTTAAAGATTGTATTTATTTCTTTTTAGAGAAGGGAAGGGAGAGAGGGAGAGAAACATCAATGTGTGGTTGCCTCTCGCACGCCCCCTACTGGGGACTTGGCCCACAACCAGGCATGTGCCCTGACTGGGAATCCAACCAATGACCTTTTGATTCACAGGCCAGCACTCAATCCACTGAGCCACAGCAGCCAGGGCCTGTGTTTCATTGCTTTTAGAGAGAAGAAGGGAGAGAGAGAGAAACACTGCTTGTGGTAGGAACATCGGCGGTTTGCCTCCTGTACGTTCCGGACCAGGGATCGAATACGCCCAGACTGGGAATCAAAGCCACGACCCTTAAGTTACGGGAGGACGCTCCTGGCAATGGAGCCACTCCGGCCAGTGCTGTTTCTTTGTCTTTTTAAGCTTCTAGAAACCACCTGCATTCCCCGGCTCACAGGCCTTTGCCTCTGCCTCACCGCTGGCTGCTGTGGCCCGCGTTCCTGTCACTCTGCCACCTCCGGTTCTCTCTTCCAGTCCCTCTCCCACTTCCAAGGTCCCTCGGGATGACATCAGCCCACGTCGATCATCCAGGACAGTCACCCCGTCTAAGGACCTCGATGTAATGCCACCCACAGATAAACCCTTTTTGCCATGTAAGGTGACGTATTCACACTCAGGTTCCAGGGACTGAACCTCTCTGGGGGAGGGGCAGCATTCTGTCCCCCACACTGTGGTCAAATACTGTCACTCGTACCCTGGGGAGCCAGAATCGTCCGCCCTCCAAACCCTGGGGTTCCTCCTCCCATCCAGCCTTCCCCTGCGCAGGCTCCGTGAGTGCTTTGGGACAGGTGGAAGATTAAGGGACGCCCAAATGACAGGTGCAGAAACTGAGGTTGGCACCAGGGTGACCTACTGAGTTCCGACAGTGCGGCGAGGATCACACCCCTTTCTTCCTCCTCCAGCCCCTGGGTCTTACCTGGAAGTGAAACTCCAGGCCAGTGACCCCCACCACCAGGGGCTCTGCCCCACGAGAGGGCTGTCTGACCATATTCATGTGCACGCCCTGCTTCAGCCAACCCACCACCTGAGGCTAGAACAGCAAGTACCTTGGACACAGGCCCAGCTCCCTCATCCCTGTGCGGGGTCGGGGTACAGGACTGATCGCTGCTCCTTCTCTGCACTGCTGCTAAATGCGGGGTTGTCTGCCCCGGGCCCGCCAGCATGAAGCTCCCCACACGCTGACATTCTACATTTTCTTCATTCTACGATCATTTCTTTCAGCATTTACTTTGCAGCCAGGCCAGAGTCAGGCCCTGGGGGACGGTGATGAGCAAACAAAGGCACGGAGTTTACAGAGTAGAGGGGAGACCTGCTGTAAGTAAGGAGACAAACGAGTGAATATCTCACCACAAACCGGGCTAAGAGTTGAAATGAGACGTCTTGGGGACAGAGGAAGGCTAGACTTGGGGGGGCTGGTTTGGTCCCGAAGGTCATGGAGGCCGCCGTGAGGAAGTGATTGTAGAGCTGAGGATGAGGAGGAGGTATTTAGGAAGGCAATGATGCAAGAGGACCCTCAGTGGTGAGAACAGCCCGTGCAAAGGCCCTGAGGTGGATGGGAACCCAGCAGCTTCACGGCAGCTCCTAAAGATTATCATTGAGTAAGAGATGAGTCAGATCTGCGGGGACCACAGACTTTGCCCATATTGTGCACTGCCTTCCTCCAGCATCTAAGACAGTGCCTGGAACACAGTAGGTGCTCAATAAATGCTTGTCGCTGTGTCAGTGGCTACTCTGACCTCCACTCTGGCATTCCCGTGTTTTGACAACCTGACACTCTGAGATTTTGCTCCAGCCACTCCTGTCCTCTCCGAGGGTCTCACAACCCCTGTTCTCTGGTTCCAGGGCCTGCTCCCGGGCCCAGCTGGATGGTCCCTGTGGCCTGAACTGCCACGGCTCCAACGGGGCACAGGCAGGCCTGTGGCAGGCAGCGGGCCCGGCCACCCGTTTGCAGCCTGTAATTTCAGAGGCACAGAGCAGCGGGCCCTCTGCCCAGCCTTCGGGCCTCACCCTGTGCCTAACATGCAATTAGCAGCGGTGCCCCCCGCCCTGCTGAGCAGCCACAGCCGAGGGGACAGGGAGGGCGAGGGCCAAACCCACCCGCCTCGAGCCTCTGCCAGGGTCCTCCCCGTTGAGCCTAGGGCGGGCGCCTGGTCCACCACAGCCCCCAGCTCCAGCCTGTCATGCACTCAGAGCCCCCTCTAATTACATAGCTCCTGGGGCCACTGGGGCCTGCACTCTGGGAAAAAAATAGCCCAAGCCTTTCATGTGGCCTGAGAGGCCGGGGCTGCAGCCGCACAGGCCTGGCCTTCGGAGGGACACCCGTGGAGCAGCCTCCCGTTGGGTGCTCCAGGGAGGCATGGCGGGCTTCATCCAGGCAGGGCAGAGCTCCAGGTGTGCTGTGAAACCTCCCTGGGCCTCAGTTTCCCCATTTCTAAATGCAGGACGCTCCCTTATTT